TATAGGCGTGTGCCACCACATCTGGCTTCATATTTAATTTTAAACAATGTGCTTTTCTTTGTCAAACCAACAGTTTCTGTAGGTGTTTCCTAGAAATATTTAACTCTTATCAAATAATTCGTGTACTATAAATCATTGTCCTGTTAATTTCCCAGAAGGATATGTTAAAAGAATTCATTACAATTATATATTTTCAGATTAAGTTTATAATTTTGTCAACCATTATATATGCTGAGTTAATATTAGCACTGGGTGCATATAAGATTGGGTTATTGTTTTCCTTGGGGATTTTTTTTTTAGTATAGTTAAATTGTTTTTTCATAAAAACAACTTCTCATTCATTCACAGTACCTAAAACAATCATGGAATAACCACTGACCATCAGTAACTGGGGAGCATCAGTAATAAGGTATTGAAAAGGACCTTTTTGGATTTGAGCTTCTGTTGGATGATTTCATTGCTATTCATCGAAGTGAGATGTTTCTCTGTTGAATGATTTGAGGTGAACTTGATTGTATCACTGGCAATTAGATAGTTCTTATCTAGAAAGAAGAGATAAATCTTATCTAGAGTTGAGATAAATCTCATTTGCAAGAAACTAGTCAGTCATACTTATGAGTAGAGAGCTATTGTGGTCATTTTTATGGCTTGGAGACAACCCCCACCCCATTTTCACTCTCAATTTCTAAAGGGATGATGTTTGTCCATGTTTTCGTAGCTGGTCTTGAACTTTGGGCTCAAAATAAATGTAAAAATATGTCCACATAAATTGCAACACTATCCACAATGTCTAAAAGCAAGAAAGAAAACATGTTCATATGATGGTTGAATGGAGGATAATATGTGGTACCCCTACACTGGGATATTACTTGCCATGGAAACAGATGAAGCAGTGATACCTGTTACAATATAGATGTCACTTGAAAAAATTGTAAAGTGATTAAAGAAATTCATAAATGCCACAGATTATCTAATCCCCTTCATATAAAAGTTCAGAGTAAGTCTCTTCATCTAGATCGAAAATAAATTAGTGGTTATCTGGGGTTACAGGAAGGGAATAGGAAGATACAGAAGTGACAGCTAATGAGTACAGGGTTTGTTTAGAGTGATGAAAATGTTCTAAAATTGGTGATGATTTCAAGTGCAAGTGAATATGCTGAAAACCGCTGAACTGTAAAATATGCATATTACTGATATGATCGGGCCGAACCCACACAGAACCAGACCAGACCTTCTGACACGAGAGGAGTCTTTATTGGGGGAAGCGACATGGCAGGCTGCCCAGCGGAATAGGACAGCCCTGAGCTGAGCAAAGCATGGGGTTTTTAAGCTGTCTGTGAGCTAGAACATTTTTTGGGAGCGGGTGTCCGTGGGCCAGAACAGCCCGAGCAGAGTGGGTTGTTCGTAAGAGTTGAACGTCTGGTTCTGCCAAGGCGGATGAGGGCGAGGTTGGCTTTTGTCGAGGGGAACTGGAGGGGAACAGATGAAGAGGAAGGAGTTTTTATTAACTCCTTAATAAAAGAGCTTAAATCTCCCATGGGGGGGATTGCCTTGTGACTTACTAAGTCTCAGCAGTTTCCAATAAAGAAAAGCTTTAGGAGTTTTGATCCAATTTCTTAAGCATGTTGACTTTCAATCTACATCCTAAATTTATACAGTCTTATCTTGTTTTTTCTTATATCAGGGAAATAGGAATTCATTTTGCCTTAGAGATATCACAGCTATTTACATTTCAACGTCTGCCATGGTAAGGCCACCTTCAAAAAATTATCGATTATTAAACATTATCAACTAGATATTTGCTTCCAGGGCTACTGCACAATGCTTTCCTAGTATGTGCAAGGCCATGGTTTCCATCTATAAAGAAAAGCACGAGAAAAAATTCTTCCAGTGTAAATAGCACGCCTCAGAACGTTATACAGCATGTAACTTCTCGGTGGAATGGGATTCAGAACGCCCAGGCTGGGAGCTCCCCCCCTTCTGAAAACGGCATTTGCAATTCTCTGCGCACAACGGTCGTGTCTGCCCCTCCCCCTTCTTTTTCGAAGGAGCCGCGGGGCGGGGGAGGATTCCAGCGTGGGTTCCTCCCTAGGGTAAAAGATCTACTTAAATGGAAATATAGCGGGCAGCCGGGAGCCAAACCGAGGGTCCCTCCCTCCTCGCCGTCATTCATTCCTGGAGAGGCAGGACCAGTTGTGGGAGCTGTCCAATCAGGCGCGCCGCTGAAAAGGGCAGGCGCAGGGGCCGCTGGGTAAGCGGATGTGAGGTGCGCCGCGCCTTCCGGCAGCGCTTTGGGAAACGTGTTGGGAGTGTAACTGAGGTGGCTCCGCTGCGGCCTGTGTGGCGCTGAGGCCTCCGTCGCACCCTGACGCGCACGGCAGCCGAAGGGAGGACCCGAAAGGCCTCGGAAGCTGGGAAATGGTGATTTCGGGGCCAGGAGTCGAGACTGGGGCACAGGGTCGGGCGGAAGCGGCTGTGGCGGGCCTGGCGCCCCGGCGGCCGGGGC